CTGAGGACGATTTTTTCAATTTTGAAACCAAATTTGCGGAATCATTCTTTTTTAGAAGCATTATTTACTATAGTCTGCTAGTAAATAATGCGTCAGATTTACTATTCAACTAGCCAATCAGAACGCGCGAAAGCTCATTTGATATGCAAACTTTATACTAAATACATTTATTACACTAAAATATGTCTTATTTAGTTATTGCTGAAAGAATAAACAAATAGCTATATATAGATTTAGAAAACATTTAATTTAGAAAAAAAAACATAGTTTAATTTTTAGAACATTTAGCAGCACCACTTGAAATCCAGCTTCACTGAGTTGATTTTAAATACTGAATGTAGTATTCTTACAGTACGATAATACGATCGAGGCACGCTCTCTCAGTGGTACGTTATAACAATACTGAATATAACATCAATGGAATGCTAGCTATATAGAAGTGACGTCACATAAGTGCATGACGTCAGGTTATTACACTGAGTTTTAAGTGTTATCTACTAGTATATTTGTGTCAATGGTAAGTATAGTATTAATTGGCTAGGTGCATGTTTTAGTCTACAATTATTCAATTGTTATTATCATTATTGACCACCGGGGGATTAAATATGTCAAGAATTTAAATATAACTCGCAAAGTGTTTCGTATCTAGACTACCTATATATGTTACTAATATTTATGATATAAGTGAGGATATAATAGATATTGGCTAATGCGCGTTTATTGTGACACAATAATGCACTGTGTTCTGTCTGTGATCTGTGGCACTGCTTTGCTCTTTCTAGTTCCCCCGCTTCATCTCTTCTTTTCAGCCAAAAATATAGACAATACTATAGAGCTTTTAAAATACAAAATTTTATCAGAAAGCAAAAGCTCCAAAGGAACAAAGCAATTTTTCTATCGTTCTACGTATAAAGTTAACCGGCTTGGCATTTGTCGAATTTGTTGTTGTCGCGACAGCTTTTGGGCAAAGGCGTGCAAAATAGCCGAGAAAAAAACTTGAAAAAGATACATGAATACCAAAACCACAGAAAGCGAAGGCGTGAGCTCCGAAGGCGTCAGCTCCCTAGGGGTCCAGGGGTATGCTCCCAGAACATTTTGAAAATTAGAACCCTAAAAATGCCATATCCTGCGATATGGGTATTGAATTATGGGCTTCAGTTTGACTTAAAAAACGGAAAAACCTTGGAAATTATGCCATATTTCTGAATTTGATTTTTTCCCACTCCCTTTCACCCCTGTTGACCCCCTCTATAAATCTACCCCTGTGATTTAATGTCTTTCGTTTGGCAGACTAATCATTTAAAAAAAAAATTCCGGCTTTAGGGACCGTTCCTTATTAATACAGGAGGGGGCTGGTATGAAATGAGGGAAGGGGGGTGTCAGACATTTCCAAGCCAATATTTTAGGAGGGAATGTAAGAATTTTTTAATGATGGAGGGGTTTAGTTTAGTTTAGTTTAGTTTAGTTTAATGATTTTGCCATATATTACATAATATCATTATAAGTATATGACAGGAGTTTGAACAGGACTTGCATCCCAATTGCAACAGAACCCCTTTACATAAAACTCAAAAAATATCGGAGAAGCAACAATAAATTATAAAGTCAAATAAATAAATAAATAAGCGAGTAGGTAATACTATACTAAGGAGGACAATAGTCCAAACACTTAGATGAATAAAAGTTATAAATGGCAGTCTTGAAGTTCGAATGGATTCGCACTGTTTCACCTGATATTTCACCTGAGATGGCAAAGTGTTCCACAGTTTGGTTGGTCCGAAGATGGATAAGGTTCCTCGACCAGAACCAGATTTTGACAGTCTTCCCAATTGCCACTATTCAGTGTTTGATAGCTCTAACAAGCACCCCCGGTGGAGAAACAAGATATCCAGATAATTTCTAGCCGAGAAAAAACTTGAAAGTGGAGTTTGCCAATGATAGTATATCTCAGCAACCGACCAGGAAAGCATATCAATAAAATATTTCTTAGGGAATCACGTTCGGCATATACGTTCAGAACGCAGCGTCAGAAACAGATGAATGGATGATTACTTTTTGTACCAAAGCCATAATTTATGAGCAGTATAAGAGTTGAAATCGTAATATATATCATTCTTTTGAGATACAGTGTGACCAATATATGCCAAAGAATATTCAATTCATATTTTATATTCATTAGCTATTTTGTATAGAAAACGTATAAAATATTAATTTGTGCTTAAGAAAAAAAAAGTCAGAGGGGGGAAGTAAATTTTTTAACCCGTAGTCGAGGGGGGAGAGCTTTCCTTCGTCTGACAGAGGGGGGATGTATAGTTTACTGTTGCTTTTTCCAGATTATTACCTGGGCCCCCGCCCCCCTCCTGTATAAATAGTGAACGGCCTTTATATTGTATTGTATTGTTTTTGCATTTAAAAATTCAAGCGACAGTATAAAAGCATGTGCGTGACGTCACGGAGTATATGTTAGGAGAATTTCAATGTCGTTTTTTTGAGCAAAATTGTTTTCTATGTAATGTCTATTTATATTATAAAACGTGACAAGAAACTGCCGCTATTAACACATTTTCTCTTCAAGGGTAAACATTATACACTTAATGTATGCTCTCGAGGGAAATAGTGAATTTTGTTTTCCCGAGAATCTCAATGTTTCGCAAGACGAAGTCGAGGGAAACATTGAGATTCGAGGGAAAACAAAATTCACTATTTCCCGAGGGAGCATACATTAAGTGTTTTGTTATATAAGAACAAAAATATATTTTACACAACAATTTTATTTCATGAAAAGGCTTTACAATGCATATCATGCACTATATGGCTTCAGAATGTAACAAACAAGCGTTCGCATTCACCCAACTATGAAAACTCTTAGTACATGTATAAACAATATATATTTACAATAAAATGTCACTTTTTGTAAAAGTTAATGGTCACATTTGCCCCGTCAAAAGCTGCAGAATGAAAATTGACAGTTTCTTGGCTGTGAGAGGCAAAATTCTGCGTCAATACAGGTGACTGTGGGCAATTTGTAGTTTCAGACTCAGTACAAACTATTTCTTCTGCTTCGTTTACTAACACAATTTCACTAGAACTACTGGCATTCGTACCATTAAAGCAAGCACTACTGAGCGAGTGTGAAATTTGTTTTTGTTTTACCTCTGACAAGGGTGGGTAGTAGCGAAGTAGTTGTATTTCGCTACTGTAGCGAACTACAATTTTCAAGTAGCCAGTAGTTTTTGACTACTTTTTTAAAACAGTAGTTGTAGTTATAGCGAACTACATTTTGTCTAAAAGTAGCCAAGTAGTTGAAAATACCCCCACGCGAATTTATAATCTCAACAAGATTAGGAATACACATGCAAATTTAATTGCTATCAAGCCCACCAGAAATGGTCCTCCTACGCAAAAGATCATACCCAAATGCATGGTTATAAATGCACGTTCTCTTGCCAAACCTCAGGCAGTTTCTGCGTTGGATGTTGAGCTCTCCACATGGGAAATTGACATCTGCTTCGTGTGCGAGACATGGTTGAACAGTAAGATATTATCAAATTTAGTATGTCCCAATAACTATCTTATTGTAAGAAAAGATCGCGGCGATGGTCGAAATGGAGGAGGTGTTGCTATAATTTGTCGGGAAGATTGGAAGTGTAAATCTCTAAACTTTCAAAATAATTTGGAATGCATCTGGTGTGAAATTGAGACAGCAAATAGCAAATACTATGTCGCCTCTGTGTATCACCCTCCGGACCCCACATATCAGGAAAGCGAATTACTAAATCATTTATCAGAGAGTATTGAGCAAATTCTTCAGTGGGAATCAAATGCCAGAATTATAATTGGAGGAGATGTTAATCAACTGAAGGTTAAGGATATTATAAGTCAACATAATATGGAACAAATGGTGAGAAAACCTACAAGAGGTCAGAAAATACTTGACATTTTCCTAACTAATTGTCCACACTTATGGAATTACCCTAGAGTCTTTGATGGCTTAGTAAAATCTGACCATTTGGCTGTCGTGATAACTCCACGGGTAGCTGTAAAACCGGAAAGAAAAACAGTTTATTTTAGAGATGCAAGAGACCATCGAAAGTTTGCTATGGTGAGAGAGTTGGAAGCACAAGACTGGAGCTGTATTGATGACTGTGAAGACGTGAACGAATCAGTTATGTTATTAAATCATATTATCACTTCTGCATTCAACAACAGTTTTCCATTGATTAAGATAAAATTATCCGCACGGGATCCCCCATACATGTCTCCTCTGGTAAAACATTTATGTAAAATACGCAATAAAAGTGTGAGGAAAGGAGTTAACGAAGATCTACAAAGAAACATAAATAAGCTTATCCGAGAAAATATGGTTAGTGAAGTTAAGAAGGAGAATGGGAAATATGCATCTGGATCGAAGAAATGGTGGGACACAGTTAATAAAATCACCGGTAGGAAGGCAAATCACACCAGTATAAATATTGATCCAAGTGTTATAAATAGTTATTTCCAGACAATAAACACTGATGATAATTATACATATCCTGAACTCGTTCCTATACCCAATGAGACTAAAGTACCAAATGTTGATATACCCACTGTAGAAAGGTTTTTGGAAAAACAAAAGAAAACATCAACAGGTCCTGATGGCCTACCCTATTGGGTATGGAAAGACTTTGCAAAATATCTAGCCCCAGTGATAACAAAGATATTTAACATGTCATTGGAACAGCAACGCGTTCCCCTCCTATGGAAATTAGCCAATCTTAATCCAATACCTAAGGAAAGCCCCCTTATAGAATGTACACAATTAAGGCCTATATCTCTTACGAACGTATAATGAGATTGTTCGAAAGAATAGTGTTTAAAAAAGAGATCTCATCAGAACTAAAACAATTAATAAAATCTGACCAATTCGCATATAAGGAAGGTACCAGCGCAACTGATGCTCTTATTATGTGTCACCATAAATGGCTAAATTGGCTGGATGGTGATGTTAATCATGTCAGGGTGATTTCATTCGATCTCAAGAAAGCCTTTGATTCCGTTTCTCACAACATCATTTGCAAGAAGCTAGGAAAAACCAACATTAATCCATATGTAATAAATTGGATTAGAAATTTTTTGACTGATAGGAGACAAAGAGTAATAGTAAACGGAATAGAAACAAATTATGTAGACATAAACAAAGGAGTACCGCAAGGCACAGTTCTTGGACCATTTCTATTTTCCTTAATGATAAATGATCTAACAGTCAAAGATCCAAATAACAACATACTAGTCAAATTTGCAGATGATATGACTGTTAGCGCTCCAGTGAAAAATAATTATGACTCCGCACTAGCGGAGGTAGACAATATTGAAAAATGGACGGAAACAAACAGAATGTCATTAAATCTAGATAAAACATGGGAAATGGTTGTAAGTGGCAAATCAACAAATCCTTTACCAGAACCAATAACGGGTATCGAACGCAAGACTTGGCTGAAACTATTGAGAACCACACTGCAGAATGATCCAAATTGTTGGGACCTTCAAGTTAATAATTTGATATCTAAAGCTAGTAGTCGAATGCACATCTTGAGAATATGCAGA